GTTGTAAATAACAAGACAGGTCGCAGGGGGTGGAGGAGGGAAGTGGAGGGGGTGGGTAAGTGACACATGGAACAAAGTACTCTGACCTCTGGAGAGTCAGCCTTCTCCAGCCCCAGCTGTTGGCTATCCCTCACATCTTCCACCTCCATTCACTCACTCTCCTATTCTTTTTTCTCTTTTTTGTGTCAATATGAACCAACATTTTCCCCCAAAGGTCTTTCCACTTTCAGTTTCTCCCTCTGCGATTGATCTTGAGCACTTCCAGCATTCATGCGTTCATTCATTTCTGCATTCATCATAAATTATGCATAAATCAGAACAATAATGGAATAAGTGTATTGTTTAGAGTTGAGGACTGCGGTTCAAGTCCTGAGTCTGCCCTAGGTATACCAGGATCATGTGAAAAGCATTTGGAAAATTGTAAAGACAGGATCAGTGGGAACCGTTATTGCCAAGGCCCTGTGCCAAGTCCCATGGGGGAAATGGTGAGGAGGAGCCTCTGCCCTCAGGAGCTGAGAGTTGTTTTCGAGGGTAAGGTGGAAATGCAGAGAGGGAGGGGGAGGGCGGGGAGGGAGGCAGAGAAAATATCCATAGACATAGGAATGTATGACTGAATTCTGCACAGGAGGAAGAAGAACGAGTCAAAAATCACCAAGGAGCTGGGGGCCAGCGTGGTTGAGAAAATAGTGAAGCCATTAATCCATTTATCAATCCATATATTCATTCATTCCACAAATACACATTGAGTATCCGCCACCAGCCCAATACTGTTACAGGTGCGAGAGATGCAAACGAAACAGTTAACGACCTCCCACCAACCCCATTTCGATTACATGCTATGAAACGACAGAGAAAAAAGAAGTAAATAAGTACATAAACAAGATCATCTCCAAAGATGATAAGTGCTATGAAGAAAATAAAACTCGGTAGTGTGTGAGAGAGCAGCCTGGGAGGTGATATTCGTGCTTCCATGTCATTAGCTGAAATAGAAGTCAGGGGCTGGACTGAGGAGGACGGTGAATTTCATGGCAGGGCTGCTGACTCAGAGATGCTAACATTCACCTCCTGATGACAATAATTTAACCTGCTCTCAAACTCTGTATTGTATCATTTTCTGGCTCAGAAATATTCAGTGGGTTTCCATCGCCCTCTGGATAAAATCCCAGTTCTTTAGCTTGCAGTTCAAGGCCTTCACAATCTTGTTCACCATCCTCACATGAACCGTCCATTCTGGCCTCAAAGGGCTCTTTACTGTCTCCACATAGGCTGTGTCCCTTTGCACATCTATACTCGGGTCCTAGGAATGTCTCCTGAGTTCTCCTGTCCACTACTGTCTTCTTGGAGCTCAGGTCTTTTCTCTGCCTGCCTGCCCTCTTGGTTTAAATGTCTCGTAAGCAAGGACCCAACTAGAGTGAAGTCTTCTTGAGGGAGGGGCTTGCCCCTTCATGATCCTCTCTCTGTTGGGTTTGCTCTTTACACTTGCCCAGAAACCTTTATAGATCAATTACCTTCTTGTATAAAATGAAGAAGGAAAGACAGAATAAGAAGAATCCAGAATATCAAAGAGTTTCCACCCAAATTCACAGAGCCAGGAGATGACGAATTCAGCTGTGCGCAAGTATGCAGAAGCAATCAATAAAGAATCGAGTCAGTTCACTAGGGGAATTAGAAGTTGGAATAAACTACATCTACCTTGTGCATCTAGGGATGAAACTGCTTGGCAATTTATGGCCTGAACCAGTGAGTTCTGGAATTCCTCTCATCTTTTAATCACAAGTCTTAGACTCGCCTAAAATAATCCATAGCCCCTCTCTTCAAGGCTTCCTTCCTCAGTTTCCTAGGCTTTGTCATATTTCCTCCTTTTAACCTTCGGGAAGATGGAGCACCTCAGTTTACCCATTTGAAATGCAGGACCACGGGATCAGCTGTCCCTTGTCCTTCCTTCTTCCCCTTCAGCAGCATTTGATACTGATGCTCAACTTCTGTGCTCTGGGGCCAGGATGTCAGGGCAGTGGAAGGTGAAGGGAGGGGCACGTGATCGTCATGACGGGTGTTTGGGATGAAAGTCAATACCATAAACACGTATTCATCATGACACTCCTTCTGTCATGTCTTTCATCTGGGGAATCTGAAAGCCCTGGGCAAACGGTAATTAATTTTCACAACAGCTTCCAAGGAAGATGGGGTGCCACCTGCCAAAGGCCAGAGGGACATTTTCTCAGTACCCTTCCCTCAACTCTTCCTGCTGCCTCCCAGCTGCTGCTGGTCCCCAGTGCCAGGTGAATAGGATGCCTAGGTCTTAGACTCCTTCCCAGGGCTTCTCTGCCTAGAAGGCTCCAGAGGCAGATGAAGACTCCCAACTAGCCTCCTTCCCCCACCCTCACCTCTCCCTCAGAGGATGACTAAGAGGGAGCCAGGGCAGGGTTGGGAGCATTTCCGGCCTCCACAGGCGGGCTGGGGCCAAACAACTAGTTAGTTGACTCAGCAAGAACCACATGGCTCCAAAAATACAACTGCCTCTGCCCAGTTCCACCTCATGCTTCCTTGGCCCTTTGGACAGAGTCACCTGCTCCTCCTCCTAACCCAGGGGAGCCACTTGAAGTGATGTTTGCCTTAATTCTGATTATAGAAGGTCTAAGTTCGTTGTAGAACACTTGGAAAATATGAAAAAATATAAAGCAGAGAATTACACTGTTAACTCCATAATTCCACCACTCCTCAAATAACCACTGTTGAAATCTGGTTATATTTCCTTTCTATTTTTTCTGGCTTTTTTTTCTTTGTGTGTGTTTTATTTTAAAATTTATATATAATCATGGCTATGTATACGCAGGTTATAAAATGAAAAGTGAAAGTCCATCCCAACTTTCTACTCCCACCCTAGGGGAAAACACTGTTAAGAGTTTCTTGCATATCTTTCCATAAATTGCCTATTGCATGTACAAGTATGCATATGCATACTCATTTGACATGGTTGAGGTCTTACTGTATGAATAATTTAGCCTTTTCTTTGCTTCACGTGAATACATGAGCTTTTTCTGTTCTGTTAAAAATTACTGGTTAAACAACATTTTTATCGATTACCTAATGTTTTATCCTATTGGTATGCCACAGTTTATTTAATCTTTTCCATATCGTTGGACATTTATTCAAGTGAAGGGCAGGGAGGAGGAAGTGAGTCAGAATGAAGGGTTGGAAGGTGGAAGCAAGTTAGGATTGACCGAAGGCCTACTGTGTGCCAACTACTTTTGCTATCTTCCCAATTGCTCAGTGTGAGAGTTAAGCACTATTCCCATGCTGAAGATGGTTCAGAAAGATTAAGAGAAAAGTTGCTTAAAGGTAAGACAGCCAGGGTTTGAAGCAAGGTTGGTCAACTCCAAAGTCTGTGGTAGATCCATTTTGCCAAGATGCCTTAGAAAAGTCCCAGGGTTTAAAATTCCCCACTGCTTGGCGTGGGGATGAAGAGAGCTCTTCATTCATTCCAATAATATTGATGTGTCAGGCATGAAGGATTCAAGGGGAAAAGACCCAGTCCTTGTCTTCTAGAAGTTCAGTTGCAAGAGGGTGGACATGTAAACAAGCTATCATAACCTGCTGTGGGAGAGAGAAGTCCAAGGTGATTTGGGGTCAAACCAGGGGTTCCTCTCTCAGACTCTCAAGGTCAAAGAAGGTGTTCAGGGGGAGGGGACCCAATGCCGAGTCAGTCCTCTGGCCCCAGTCAGGAAGTGCCAATGAGGTTTGAAACGCCTCTGCTTCCTGTCCTTCCAGATCCCATTGCACCGCAGTCACCAGAAGCCAGAGTCGGCTCCTCCCTGACCTGGCTCTTGCCTCGAGCTTCCTGCCTTATACAAAATGGCTTGCCAGACTCCCACATGGTTGGGTGGGGTGGTGGGCCCCTAATTTCTGAGAAGATTTTCAACACAATGTTTCCAGTTGTTTTCTAGAAGATTAGGAAATGTTTATCATAGCCTGGGGAAGAGGGGACTACACAAGAGGTTTGGTTAAATGCTTGGGCTCTGGACGGACAGAAGTGGATTGGAGTCCAGCTCCCCATTTGCTCTGGGACTGCTGGAAAATCACCGATATCAGTCAGAGTGCTGGGTAACAAGCTTCAGAGATGGCCCCTGACTATCTTAAACCGAGAAGAGAATCAAATGCAATAGAGTTGGCGGGGGCTCAAGAGGGGGCAGTCTTAGGAAAGGAGCAGATACTAAGGCCGCTCTCATGGCCCAGAGCAGCAGGGACATGCCACTGCAGCCAGATATCACAGTAAATGGGGTTCCAACTCCCCAGCACTTAGGGATCCAAGGCTCAGGCCTCAGGCAGGAGCATCCCACTAGAATTAGCTGGGCTTTGGCTTTGGTTCCCACACCCACTGCCAGGAGGGTGTGTGTGTGTGTGTGTGTGTGTGTGTGTGTGTGTGTGTGTGTGTTTTGCCTTTGGACCTCAGTAGTAGGAGGTAATGTGTGTGTGTGTGTGTGTGTGTATTTGTTTTGCCTTTGGACCTCAGTAGTAGGAGGTCGGGTACTCCCTTCCTCCAAGCCCACACGCAAGGTAGGACAAGTCCTGCACACTGTCAGGGGAACTTTGGATCCTGGATAGCCAAAAACTCAATGTCCAGGACATGCCTTGACATCTCAGAGCCTTTGTAAAATAGAGATGCTAATGTCCACCTTGCAGGATTGTTATGAGGATTTAAAAAAAAAAAAGTCAAGTGCTGGCACAGTGCCAGACACCCAGTAAATTCTCAGTAAATGTTAGTTTACCATTAGTGTTGTTCTAATTATTATTTTTATTACTATTATTAGCTACTTTCTTTTAAAATAAAATACAAGTAGTATTTTAAATATAAAACAAATTTTTATATATGGTCATATATGGCATTTAAAGTAATATATGCCATAGATAGAAAAGTTGAAAAATAGTGAAAAGTTGAAAGAAGAAAAAGAAATCACCTGCCACTCACAGAAAACCACTGTAAACATTTTCAGTTTCTTGCCAATCTGTTTACTATATGTTGGTTTTGGTTCTTGCATTCTTTGTTCCTTTTTTTTCTCTTAAACATCTGTGACCATCTTGTCTGTACAGTTGTGAATCTGACCTTATAGCATTTACACTTCCTTATGTTATTAAGGACTCTTTGTAATGGTCATTCTCAAGAGCTACGAAATACCCTGTGGAGTGGATAGAACCATCCTCCAACGGTTGTTTCCACTGCTTGGGAGAGGACAGAGGACAGGGAGTGGTACGCATTTGTAAATTATGAGTGTTTTTTCAAAAAAAACACTTCTGATTCTGGAATGCTTCTTTGAAATCCCGATTGATGCTTAATTGACAACAATTAAGCACTTTGTTCCAAGGAAATTCAAGAGGCTGTTTCCTAAAATTCCCACACATCTGATGCAGGGCAAGGGGCATGGCCCTCCTGGTTGCACACCACCTCACTGTATTTTGATGGGACACTTTCACTGCCACCAAGAGTATGAGAGTCTCATAGTCCCACGGTCACCCTGACGCCGCTGGCCTGCCCACTGCTTTCTCACGTTTCCAATATGTTCAAATCACTGATTAGACTTGGGATAGTTTATTCTGCCCGTGAAATTTCCCGCCATTAGTGTAGTGGAAAGTGCCCTGGCTCTGCCTCTTGCCTCCTTAGGACTTGGGGCGATTTTCTTACATCTCTCAACTCTTCTGGAAAATAAAAGGAATCATATATAAATTCTCTTAGTAAGTTGTCTTGGATAGTTTCATATTCTCTTTTTCCTTACTCCTTACCCCAGCCCGTGACCGGCTTCCCCCACTTGCGGGTCCCAGCCGGGGTTCCAGGAAGTGGCTCATGCCTGAGGGGGGCGGGGCGGGGAAGGGCAGCTGGGGGTCACGTGATCAAGCTCCCCACCAGTGGGTGACTAAAATGCCAGTGATGCTAATTATTTGGACTTCCTGGGCAGGGCCATGCACCCTGTGGTAGCGGGGCTTTGGAAGCAACAATAATTAATATTTTGCCGAATGCGATTCTGATCGCCCCTCCGCTGAACAAAGGGTCCCACCCTGAGCTGGGAGCCCCGTGGGAACTGCCCCAGCTGCATTCCCCGTGGAAGTGATTGTGCAATGGGCACCCGCGGGCTCAGAGGGTGGGGCGGGCTGGCAGAGGATGTGCCCCAGCCTGACCAGCTTAGATAGACAGGAGAGGCGGAGCATTAACCTTTACCTTGAAGTGTCCTGGGCCGGACGCCCACGTGGTCCTGAGCCCACCCTGGGCCTGCCCAGGGCTCCCCATTGGGTGGCCAGGCTCTGTCCCCTCCACGGGTGTGGGAGTGAGGTGAGCAGACGCGGTATCTGGGGAGGGCAAAGGGAAATGAAATCGTTCTTTCCCCTGTCGCCCACACCTCCCCGCCCTTCCGAAGAATCATTAGAACCTGAAAGAAGCAGAAGGCTCAGAGGTCTTCATGTCCAACTCTCTCATTCCACGCGGAAGGAAACTGAGGCTCAAGGAGAAGTGAATGGCTCTTCTTCAAGTTTCTATGAGAAACGACCAAAGAGGAGAGCGCAGGGAGCTTTTGAAAGCACTCTCCATGCCATTGCTTATGATGCCATTTCAATTACTGAGAAAGGCTCTCTGACCCCCAAATTCTCCTCCTACTCCTCAGCTCCTGAAATTCCACTTCCCTTCCCTTACTTTAAAGCCTTGATGCCAACTAAAAGTTAAGCTTCCTCCTGCAGGGATCACGCCCGGTGTGAGTAAGAAGTCATTTCTGTTCCTTTTTCTGAGAGCAGGTGGGAGGGATGGAGGGAGAGAAGGAAGACATAAAACCTCAGTGCGGCAGTCCTCACACGGCTTTCAGAGTACGTTTCGTGTTTTTGGTTTGCAAGGTACTTGCAATGGCAATCTCCAGTCACCTCTGCAACAATGCGATGAGGCGAGAGAACCCTTAACTGTTATTTGTATTTATCAGGGGAAGGAATGGAGGCTCTGGAAAGTTAAGTGACTTGCCCATGCAGTTAGTAAGTGCCCAGGTGGGTTCGAAATCACGGCACTCAGCTGCTCCCCACAGCCCAGTCAGTACAAGGGTATGATGTTAGGACTTCTGTTGACTGGTTGATAGAAAAGTAGGAAAACAAGTCCTGGAGTTCAGGATTTGCGAGAGCTCGGAGTCATGCAGTACGGAATGCTTGCCTTCTCATTCGAGCTCCACTGTAGCCCTAGGTTAGTATCATCGCATTTTCCAGAGGGAAGGCCTAAGGCCCAGAGAGTGAATCCATGCAACTGTGGGCACCTCCAGGGCAAGGAACTGGGTCATGTCTATCTTCTCATATTTGATCCATAACTTTATCCGTGAATGTCTGTTGAGCGTGTACAGAAAGAATTCTGTAAGATCATCCACTATGCTCTGTGTGTTGCACAGATGAGAAAACCGAGGTCTGCAGGGTTAAGGAATGTGCCTGGACACATAGTTGGTGGCAGAGCTTGGACCTCAGAGCTCTCAATTCCTAGTCTGGTGTCCTTTCCACTTCGTTCCTTCATCCCTTCATTTGTCCAACTATGGGAACGGAGCCCACACTTCTCCAGAAACTATGCTGGGCTCTAGGAATACAAACAGGGCGGGGGATAGTGTCAGGAGAGTGAGGTGTTTGCTTTGGGTACAAAAACCTAAGAGGGATAGCGGGGACGGCAACAAAAAAACTCAGTGACCAAGATAAATAAAACTTTATTACAATATTTTAACAAAATTAAATCAGCAAACCATAGGCCTACAGCCGCTTTTTTGTAAATAAGTTTTAGTCAGACTTTTTTTTGTAAATAAGTTTTAGTAAGACTAAGTCCCAGTTCCTGTTTTGAGGACCCCACAGTTTCTTTGGGGAAGAAAAGCCCAAATTAAGTATTTATTTAATTGTCCATGAGTGTCCTCAGGCAGCAAGCAAGGAGTAAAGGGGGGAATGTTCAAGACAGGAAAGGAAATGCACAGAAATCCAGCTGTATGACACTGCTGTGGGTTTATTGGGGGAAATGAGTGCAAAGTTTGTTGATATAGGAGACACAAGGTCAGGAGCCAGGGGAAAGAGGGGTGGTGAGTGACCAGGTCTCAAAAATCATGGGGACAGATGGGGGATAATGCAGAGCCCACCAAGCCGAGAATGTCCCTTAAAGATTTTGGACTTTCTACCATGGATCTGGTGAACTACCCTCAGGCTGACACTGAAATGGGGGGAAATCAGACACAAACCAGAGAGTCTGTTGTCAGAACTACGTTTAAAACCACAATGGATGTGTTTGGCTGGTTGTCCCAGATGTACCTGTGGTATTTGCCCCCCTCCAGTGCTTGTCCCCCATCCTGATGCTGAGAGGACTTGGTGTTTGGGAAAGAGCGGAGTCCCAGGGTAGGTTTAATCTAGGAGGACTTTCTAGAGAGAAAGTGGAGTTGAGGGCAGAATTTTAAAGGAATTGAGAAGATGGATGGAAGCATTCTGAATGACATGGCGTCTGAAAGATGGAACAATTTTGCTTATCTTCTATGAGAAGTAACTGCTCTCACATACATAAAATGGTTGGCATGTCACAAGGACCCAGTGAAAGATGGATGATGAAGAAGGAGGAGCGAGGAAGAGGAAAAGAAAGAGAGAAACGGGCTGAGAAGCAGGAGACCTTGGTTCTAGCCACAGCTGTACCTCTGGTTAGTTACGTGAGACTTTGCAGACATCACTGCCCCTCTCGATACCTATAGATTATTCAGGCTAAGATTTCCACCTCTGAGAGTCCCTGATCATAATAAACACAGAATAATAATAGCTATTGTTTATTACCACCTACCTCATACCAATCTCTCTCCGAAGTGATAAACATATATAGCCTTACATTTGAATTTCACAACAAACTTATTAGTGGTCTCCGTTATTATCCCCATTATGCTGATAAGGAAACAGAGTCTCAGAGAAATAAACTGTCCAAATGGCAGCTCTAGGTAAGTAGGGGCTCTGACTCTGGGAAGGCAGAGAGATGCTGCCTCCTGGAGGCTGTGTCCTCTACAGAGAAGCATTTTCCCACACTGGAATCAGAGTGGGCCATGGCTCCTGAAGACACCAAGGCTACAGGAAGCTGCTCTCCTTCCTTGTTTCACTGCCCAGTTTCTGTGGCAGCACCAACCCATAATTTGAACATCCCCCCACCCCGACCCATGCCTTCCCCTCAGCCCAGTGACTTTCCCTAAAAGCTGTGTCACTCTTAACAGATGACACTCAGGGAAAAGCTCTGTGGTTGAATCACAGTGACCACTTCCTGTTCCTTTCAGGGTCCCCTTCTCTAGGGCCCTCGCTCTGCCATGCCGTGTTTAGTAATAAAAGCCATGATATCTGTGACCCCTGGGCTGCTTGGAAAGCTTGGGCACTTCTTTTATGTCCTCATCCTACCAGGCCAAGGGCCACCAGCTCTTAACTTCAGCCCCATTCCACAAATCCTGCTAGGTAGAGCCCGGAGGAGACCTTGGATGTCCTGGGCTGTGTACGGAGGCAAAGAGACGATCCCCATCCCCTCAGACTGGTGATGTAAGGTTGATGGGGACAGGTGGGTGGATGTTCAAGCCTCAGCCATGAAGTAAGGGAGTAGTCACTGACCCTGTGGGCGCCTCGTGGGCACCCACTCAGGGGGGTATTGTTGTCTCCACGTACATGGGTCAGCACACAGAGTGGAAAGACAAATACAGACTGGGCTCTGTGTCTCAAGGGAAATCCCAGTTCTCTCCTAGTTGCCCAGAAAGGGTTTCCTGGAGGTTGACAAACTGAAACAAATGTTGAGTGTGAAAGCAGAGGAAGTCACCCGATATTTGAGGGGCTGTGCAGAGGAGGAGAGCAGAATCTGGGACCATCTGGACCATTTAGGATCTCGAGAAGTCTTAAGCCTCTAAAGATTATGGTATTTCTTGCCCAAGCCTTACCCTCATGGAGCATACAAAATGAAGCCATCTAAATCCTAAAAACACCCGTAAGGAAGTCCAATAAAGTTCTGATTTTTTCCCCATGATAACCACTTCGGTGCTTTTTTTCTTCTTTTTTCGATACTATCAATTATCAAAGTCCTTTGAAAAAAATTTTTATGCTTTCAAGTGCCTCCACTTTGCTCATTCTATCAGCTCTGTTTGGTCTGTCTGTTGGGTAGATTATCCTGTACTGGGAACAGTGGGTGGTGTCGCTGGACCACACATACCTCCTAATATAGGTTAGATCTCTCTAACCATTTGTGTTGTGTGAGTGCCCCAGGGAGGGAGTCCCTGAGCACTGATGTGTTCCCACCCCCACAAAGGCCAGAAGTCCCTATAATGGGGACTTTGAAGAGAAGAATTTCTTTTTCCACTGGGAATGCGAGACCTTGGAGGCCTCGGACCAGCTCTGCAACTACATCTAGAACACCATCCACTGCTACAAGATGGCCCCAGTAGTGGATGGGTCAGGACCAAATGGGCAGGATTACGGGGCATCAGTGCCGCCAATCCAAGCACTATGTTCAGTCCTGTTTACATGTACTCCCCCCATTGCTCTAATATGAGCTCCCTGAAAGTCACAACTGCTTTATTAGTTCTTATTTCCCTGGTCCTGGCCCCCAGTTGAATTAATTGCATGACTAGAGTCAGGCGAAAAGAGATGGCGTATTTCTTTTAGGTGGCATATCAGTGCACATTCTTTAGACGATAAATAAAATGCCTTCTGATTGTTTAGTGACTTTCCAAAAGGATGCACAGGAAACTGGCCATGGTTTTTGCCTCTGGAAAGGGAGACCAAGGGACTCAGGTCTGAGGATGGGAGGGAGAGTATTGGTCACCTAAAGTCATTTTTATCATGTGCATTTATTAGTTATATCAACTAAAATAAAAACGTTGGGTTTAAAAGTTTCCAAAATGCTTTCAGCACCTCGATTTAACAGTTGTAATTAAGTACTTGTGTGACACGCTTTAGAAGGGGCTCTTAACCATTTATTCAACTTTACAACTTTCAATTTTTGATTTCCACCACACTGAAATGTTTATATTCCAGTATAGAGCTCATTAAACACGTCAGGTTAAAAGTGAGCTTGTGATAAGGGCAGCGAGCACACTTTTCTCAAGAGAAGAATAAGAAAAATGAGTGTTTCATTTTGGGTACATCAATTGACAGTCACAAATATGACTAGAACTTCCTGGCAAAAGATTACCCTGTATTCACATTTTTTTGAAAAGAAGTGAATCAAAATAATTCTTAGTTGAAATCGGCTATTCCAGACAAGCCTTACACCAAGGGCGAACAAACTGCGAGATCCAGCTAAATTCGAAGTTCCCCACAGGCTTTTTCAAGGTCTACAGAGTGGACTTCACTGACACCAAGAAGTCTGCAATCATCCTTGAAAGAGAGAGGATTTCCAATTTCAGGACTAATGCTGGGCCATAGAGCCTCTTGCTGACTCCCCGGCAAAACCTACATTTCCTTCTGCCGTCTGTGTAAACCCAGAGTATCGCTGAAATTCTCTGGACCTCAGTTTCATCAACAGTTAATTAGAAAATTAAATTCCTACACTTTGTTCTGTATTCTGACTATGATGCTAGTTACATGAATCTATAATGCAAAGAACTGCATCCTAGAAGAAAAAAGTCAATTTTACTGTATAATAATTTAAAAACAATTTTTTTAAAATCCTGTGCTTTTAGTAAGAAACTCTTACATGGCATTCTTTTAACTGTTTATTCTCTCTGACATCCAGGACAAGATGTAGCTCATAGCAGACATTCAACAAGTTGTATATTTGTGGAGTGAATGAATGAACGAATATTGGAAAGAGCAGAATGCTGATCCCAGGCAGGCACTCAATATTGTTCATTTCTTTCACCTTCTGTTGAGTCATTTCAGATAACAGGACATAGTGTAGATAGATCTTCATAAAACACTAAGGGCTTGCTCAGTTCTCTGCCACTTGGGCAATGTTTGACCTAAGGGGAGAGAAAAGGCAGCTATTGGCAGGGAGAGTGACCTGGCTGATTTCCTATAGCTGTGGATACATTCTATATTGACCAGATGTCTTCTCCAGCCAAGGACCATGCTAAGTGGTATAGCTACCAAGTCCATTTAGACACATCCCTCTCCTTTCAACTTGGATGATGGAAACTGTGCATTTATCACAAGGCTCTGGGTTAACATATGCTGGAGGATCACTCAGCTTCTGATATTTACCGTTGCCTCAGCTTATTTTAAATGACCCACTGGGAGCTAGAGTGAAAGAGGCTGGACAGGAAACCAGACAGGGCAGCAAGAGCGTGCCGGCATGGACCCTGGGCCTTCATCCCCCAGTTCTCCCAGCCCTAATCACATCCGGAGGGACCAATTTATTCTAAGTAATCATCAAGAGTGGGAATAATGAAACAGGAAATGAATGTATTCGTTTATAAGGCAATTCCTTGAGTCTGGCAGCGGCAGTGTTATTCTTTCTCCTGAGGATAAGGCAAGCCCAGGCTACTATCCAAGCAGAAGTGTGCTCAGAACATAGAGAGCACAGAGGGACCTGGGAATTCTTTACAAGGAGGCAAGCAGTGTTTTAGAAAGAGGGTGGCCTTAGAGTCTTAAGCATTTGACTTTAAACATTGACCCCAGGACTTATTAACGGTGTGAACTTGGGCAAGTAACTTGAAGTCTCTGGGTCAATTTCCCTAGAAGTATAACGGATACAATAACATCTAACTCATACTGTTTCAAAGTGTAAAAGAGATAACATACGGAAAGATCTGGACACAAACTAGGTAGCACCAAGTGGTCACTTTTTAAAACTGTTTTTTTATAGAGAACTTTCATTTGCAAAGATAATATGTGCATTATTGACTATGGAAAATACTAATAAACCAAAAGGAAAAAATTAAAACCTCCCATAATTCCATCGTTCAGAAGGAACTGTTGGTAACATTATATTTGTCCTTCCAAGCTTTCTATGTATTATTATTTTTAAAAACAAAAATGAGATCCTACTTCCATGTGGTCTTAAAACCTGCTTCTTTCACTTATGAGTGAGTATTGACATTATCCCATGTCTTTAAACGATCTTCTACAGCATCGTATTTTTAAATGTCTGGCATAGTGTCCTAACATATGGCCATACCATCATTTATTTAACTAATTTCATACTGTTCAGCATTTTCACTATTATAAACAAAGCTGAAATGCACATCTTAGCCGCTGAACATCTTTTATTATTTCCCTATGACGAATTTCCTGAAGGAGAATTGTGGCTGATTCTGACAGACAGCCTTCCGAAACTTTTGTGCCCATCTACCAAGTCCAGCAACGTCAATTGTCTTGATGGCAGGTGAACCTCGTTTTCATCATTTTCTTCTCTCTATTAGTTATAGTCTGATCACTTTTTCTCCTCTGCTCTAGAAATATTTCCATCCAAATACATAAATTTGGTCTCCCAGCCTCACGAGGCCTCTTCTGCCCCGTCTAGTTCTGGAGACACAAGTTCTGACTATTATCTTTTGCCAGTTTTCAATCCCTGTCTCACAGAGACCGATGATAATTAGATGACTGTTGATCTGTTATTGATTACACGTCCCAAATCTCATCAGCCTTGTTCACAAATCTCATCTAGGGTGAGTTCCTTCCTGAGAAGATTGTCACAGATAGCTAATACCATTTCATTTTCTGTAGATACTCCTGGTTTCCACTTCCAAGAATGAGTCTGGCTTCATCTCTAAAGGCAGGGGTGGTGGGGAGGACGTTTTATCTAAGCCAAAAGTAGCAAATTGGGTTCCTGGGACAAACATCAGGAAATGGGGGTTCAGATCAAAGGAAGGGCAGCCATGGGGGAAAGGGGTGTGGCAGAAGCAGAGGGCCTTCTTCCTTGTCTCTTTGGCCCCACATCACTCTAATCTCTGTTTCTATCGTCACATTGGCCTCTCTGACTCTCCTGCCTCCTTCTTTCCTGTACAAGGAGCCTTCTGAGTTCATTGGGCCCACCCAGATAATCCAGGATAATCTCCCCATCTGAAAATCCTTAACTTAATCATACCGGCAAAGTCCTTTTTGCCATGTAAGGTCACATAATCATAGGTTCTGGGGATCAGGACTTGGACATATTTGGGGTCATTATTCTGTCCACCTCATCTGGCAAGCCACTTTCCCTCTCTGGCCTCTTCTGCAAACTGTGAATCTTTGACAGAAAGCTCTCCAGGGTCGCTTCTAAGTTTGGCTAGTGGGGATATTTTAAAATGTGAAATGTAGGACTGAGGGGTAGGAACTACACTAAATTTCTCCCAGATTTCTCTAATTCTCTTTCTGGGACTCCATCCTCTCCCCTGAATGCTACCGATGTCATCTGTACTTACACGTCTATTGATTGGACCAGCCCACACAGAGCGCTTATTACCTGCCAGACTATTCTAAGCACTTCACAGCTATGAAATCATTTAACCTTCATAAAAACCCAGTGAACGAATCGGAGTGACAACCCCTATTTTCAACAGAGAGGTTGAAAAACTTGGAAAAGATTGCAGAGCAGCAGGGCTAAGGCCTAACTTCAGCTGTCTGACTCTAAAGTCTGTACTCTTAACCATTGGTGGCCCAGCCTCTCCTCAAAACCCTTGACCCAGTCACACAGCCATTGTTTAAGTCTCTTCCAGACTGTGAGTAAGTCAAGAGCAGGAGTCTTGTCTAATTCTGTGAATTCCAGCTCTGATACACGCCTGGAACACAAACAAATGAATGAATGGTGAATGGTAAATAGTGAATGGATGAATGAGTAATGAATGAGTGAATGAATAAATATGGGCATTATTTTTTATTTACCTGAGAATCTTTTGCAGATCAGACCCTTGGTGGCAAGACATAATAACAACCATTAAATGGGACACTTCAAAAGAGAGTGTGATCCTCATGCCAGCAAGGTAGGTTGCTGTTATTATTCTCATTTTACAGACAAGTAAATTGCAGCAGAAAGAAGGTCAGTAACTTGCCCAAGGCCAGGAACTGAATTTGAGTTGAGATTTTCTTGACTTCCATGTTTGCATCACAAAGGTTAGCATGAACTCTCCGAGGCCTGTGTGCTTAAAGTTTGGCCCAGGTATAACTCTAGATACCCAAAGAGAAGGAAGGAAGCAAAGGAACATTTTATTGGGCAACTACTACATGGCAGGAGTTGGGCGAGATGATCTCTGAGCTCCAACTCAGCTTACTTTTTTAAAGCCGGCACTGTGTGCTTATTGCATGTCAGGCGCTATGCTAAGAACTTCACATACGTTATGTAATTTCATCCTCATGACACCCTCCTAGGTGCTACTATTATTTCCATTTTAGAAATGGGGAAACTGGGGCTTAGACATACAGATATTGTCCAAGGTTACACAGTTCCCACAAGGCCCAACCTGAGTTTTAACTGAGGCTTTTTTAATTCTTAGCCAACTCTTATGCATACCCTATGCTGCCTCCAGCTACCCCAGACAGCCTTTGGAGTGAGAACATCCTGTGTTCCTACAGAAATCGGAACAATGCTGGAGTAGACGTGGGATGAGTTCCTTAATGTGTGGGCCCCTTTTCCTTTGGATTTCAAAGATTCGCTTTGGTGAAGTTCTGTTAGAGTCAAAAGGTGACATCCTTCCATGGACTACTGGCCAAGGCTCAGAGTCCAGCCCTGGCACCTCAAGGGCTTGGCCGTTTGCTCTGATCTTGTTATCAAGGCAACTCTAGATGGCTCTGTGGCTCCGTAGTTATTCAACCTCTTGCTTCCTTGTCTTCCCACATTTTCAGGAGAACACTGGAGAGATGGCAGCTCCAAGTGGCCCACTTGTCAAGGATTGAGGCACAAAAACAGTTTCCAGGACCTTCAAGGCCTCAGACAGAAAGAGCTATATTCTCTAAACACTGAGAGCGGAAGCTGTCTGTCTCATTCACAGCTGTGCCCCAGAGCCTTATGTGGGGCCTGGAATAAAACAAGTGCTCAGTAAATGTTGAATGAATGAATTCATTATGGAAAGGGGCTCCCTAATCACCAGGAACTGGGGTAGAGCAATGGGTTCATACTTGTAGTGGCAACCCAGTATAAAAGTACATGTGTGTGAACACGTCTGTTTGCCCCAAAGCGAAGGCTCAACAGCCCGTGTGATATGCTGGCCCATGTCCTTCCACTTCTTTTCTCTACCTCTTGTGAGCTGGAGCTGTCAATGCAGACGGTTCCTGCATAGCTAACCCATGTTTCTGGACTGAAAGATCTCCCTTCTTTCTCCCTCTCCCTCTCTCCACCAGCCCCTCTCTCTCTTTCTCTCTCTCTCTCCGTACAATACACATAATACAAAATTTACCATCTTCGCTATTTTTAAATGTACAGTTCAATAGCATTATGTAGGTAGATTCATACTGTTGCGCAACCAATCTCCAGAACTCTTCATCTTGCAAAACTGACTCTTAAGCCTTGTGTTGTCCTACCTTCACCTATTTTCTTGGATTTTAGCTATAAATACATAGACAGTGGGTTTTGAACTCTTTAGTAAGTCTTAGTGTGGTACGGGACAGTACTGGTGCTCAATAAATGTTCTCTGGGTAATTGATTTGGCTGCGTTTAATTTTTTCCTGCGTGCTTCAGTCTCTCAGTTTAAAAGCAAATTTGGCTTTAGGAGGCACTTTATAATTATAAGTACTTCTTGACTGCCCTCTAGTGGGAAAAAAATGAAGACGTGAAACTCAGAACTGTTTATCTTTCTGCTGGAATAAAGTGGCCCCTTTTTCCCTAACTTACTGGACTTCGTACTATCCAAAATTGTGACCACTCCAAAATCGTCAGTTAATCTTTACCTTACAGATGAAGCAGATGCACATAACAGTGGTGAAGGACCAGTCTTGTAAAAATTTTTTCATCGGTTGCAAACCAATCTATTGTAAAATACGATAAAAATGAAAAATTAGATAAATTATATTAAAAAACAAAGGCATACAAAATAAAAATCTAACTCATTATCAACAGACAAAATTAAATTTTAATAAAAAAATCATAACAAACATAACAAAAAAATAATTGCAAAATCTGTATGTGTGGTTCATTGAGTGTGCATGTTATAGGTGATTAATACAAGAATTGCTATTATGCTAATAATTTTTTGTTGTTCTGCAATCATAACTAAACAAAAAATCATAAGTGAAATGTAGTGTTTCCTTACTTCAAGTGAACACATGTATATTAATATTAAGGGTAATATAGACAAATGCACATGTTTAGGGCTCGTTAGCCTATCTAAACCAGGTAGAATGGAATAGAATGCTACTCGTAAGGTATAAATAAGGTCTATAGAAACTGTTTCTATGTCTCGCTTTTATAAGAGCTCTAGTGGAGAAACCAGCATCACAGAGGTTTGTTGATGGGAATGGAAAAAGTTTTAAAGCAATTTTAGGAAGCTCAGGATTTTCATTTTTTGTTTTTATCCAAAATGAAGCAAATGATTGTTTTCAAAATTCACCTTCAGTTCTCTATCCATTGCTAGTTGCACCAATTTATCTTGTAAAGTTATATAGTTAAATCAAATTACCTTTCAATGAAAGCCATGGTTTCTGAATCCCTGAATTTCCCATAACATTGTGAATTATGCAAAAGCTAATGTATTAAATTCTAGATGATTCTCTTTATAATGTGATAACTAATGTTAAACTAGACACTGTTTAGTTCAGCTAAAATTGCAAAACTTTCTTAATGAAAGAAGCAGCGTGTTGAAGTACATTCTCATGCAAGTTCTTTAATTTTGGTAATAACTTCAGAAGGTTTTTCTGTCTATGCAGCTGCACCGTTAGAGCACATTCCTACACCAGACTTAAACTCAAACCATATTCCTTGACAGTGTAATCCTTCATAGTTTTTTTGCAGTTCAGAGATAGTAGTTTGTCATCAATGAAGCTGAAAAAAATTCTTTCTCATATCTCTAGCATGTTCAAATTGCATATTATACCGAATTCATTGTCATGTTAGCAGCATGTGTGCATTGAACAACCCCTGAGGCTGAGATGAAATTGCAGCCTGGTTGGTCAACACTTAACTCGCATTAACTAGAATTTTATATTTACTTATGTTCTTTTTTCTGATGTAAAATTCATATACGATGAAATGGAACATTCTTTTCTCTTATTCATTTTCTTTTTTTTAATTTATTAATATTTTTGGTGACATTGGTTAATGAAATCCAGTAAGTATTTTTTTATTTTAATTTTTAATTGTTTATCGGGGTAACATTGATTAATATAATTATATAATTTTCAGGTGTACATTATCATTTGACATCTGTGTATTCTATTGTGTGTTTACCTCCAGTAAGTTTCAAGTGTACAATTTAACACAATTTAATTGCATTGTGTATTTCCCTCCCATAGTTAGATTTCTTTCTGTCACCACATATTTAACCCCTTTTACCCCATCTACCTCTCTCCTCCCCACTCCCCTTCTACCCTCTGGTAACCATTAGTCTATTGTCCATGTTCATGAGCCTCTGTCCTGTTTGTTTGTTGCTTTTAGGTTTATATCCCACATATAGTGATACCATGTGATTTTCAACTTTTTCTGTCTGGCTTATTTCACTTAGCATGATTATCTCAAGGTCCATCCATGTTGTCGCAAATGGCAATATTTCATCTCTTCTCATGGCTAATATTCCATTGTACATATGTACCATAGCTCCTTTATCCAATCGTCTATCATAGGACACTTTGGTTGCTTCCATGTCCTGGCCACTGTGAATAATGCTGCTATGAACATCAGTGTGCAAATATCTTTTCGGATATGAGTTTTCAAAATGGAAAATTCTTAAGCGAATAGTTTTGCTAAATGCATAAACCTTGGAACCCAAATCCCTATAAAGATATAGAACATTACCAACACCTCCCATAAAATTCCTTTATTTTACTTCCCAATTCCCCTCTAGACTCCCTGAAGCAATTACTTTTCTGATTTTTTTCCATTATAGATTTGTTTCACCAGTCCTAGATCATCATATACATACAGTTATACAGTATGTGTTCATTTGGAATATACATATTTGAGAATATTTTTGAGATTCATTGGTATAAGATTTTCAGTATAATATTTTTGAGATTCATCCATGTCATATATCTGTCATTTTTTAATTGTCACTGTAAAGATATACCTCAATTTATTGATTAAGCCATCTGTGGATAGACATTTGGGTTGTTTCCAGTTTGAGGCCATTGTGAATAAAGCTGCTATGAACACTTTTAAACAGTCATTGGAGACATATGTGTTCATCTTGGGAAAACACCTATGCACGAACTTACTAGGTCATAGGGTAGATTTATACTTAGTTTTATGAGAAAATAAAACTTTTTGCTAAGTGGTTGTATTACATTACATTTCCATCATAAATGTTGCTCCAAGATCTTGCCAAGATTTAGTGTTGTCAGTATTTTTAATTTTAGCCATTCTGATGGGTGCGTAGTGGCAGAAAAGCAAATCTTAAGTATGCTGAATTTTAAAATGTTCCAAGATTTCAGAGTCTTGAGAACAGCTAAAATATATATGGTAAAAAGTATAAAATGTGAAATTCCTTCTGAAAAAATTGATTGACTGAGGTATCATTTGTATGTTTTTTAACCAAAAAAAAAAAAAATTATATAATGTCTGCATTAAATGGTTTTTAAATCAACAATTTTTTTCTAGCTGGGTTCCAACCTGGAAAAAAGAAATTCGACTTTGGGCTACAGGCCAAGGAATTGGAAAAAATCTTGGGACTGAGGTTAGTGTCTTTGAGTTTTGCCTCTAGCAAAAACTCTGGTTCTAGAAAGGTTATGTGGGGAAAAGATAAACTTCTCTCTTCTTAGTTAATAACTCATTTTTCATTTTGTTACTCCCCCCAAAGAAAAATACTTATATTGAATTTGGAGATTTTGTATTAAATAGATTTTAAATTATAAAAGATAATTTTAAAATATAATTAAATTGGAAAAAGTATCACTTTATCTTATTGTTAAAGAATGTAATTTTGTGTCTAACTCTGTAGTTATACAATTACTAACGAATGAAAAGTAAAGAATTTGGAACATGTTATATTTGATCCCATACCAGAATTTGAATTTCCTCATTTAACTAGCTAAAGCTTTGTGTAAAGATGATGTAAACATGAGATTTCAAAAGTATATTTGCAATTATGGTGTATTTTAATTATATACACCACTGGTGTCTTTTATGAAATGGTTCTAGAATGACCTAGATAATCTGTGCATTATACAAATCTGCACATGGTTGAAATCTGGGTATGGTTTAAAGATTCATAGTTAGATTTTTTCTAGTTTTTTGAGGGGCCTTTATTGAGATATATTTCACATACAATAAAATTCACCCATTTAAAGAAGTTCAGTGGTTTTAATATATTCAAAAAGTTGTGCAACCATCATTATAATCTAATTTTAGTTTATTTATTCATTTATTTATTTTTATTTTATTATTATTATTTTTTTTAGGCAAGGCAACCCTTGGTTGACCTCACAGATTGCAAAGACCTTGTCAGCTTACAATCCCTTATTTTTTTTATTTTTTACACTTACAGCATCTGGTCTTCCTAGGTGGTCTCCCATCCAAGTACTAACCAGGCCCGACCCTGCTTAGCTTCCAAGATCAGACAATTTTAGTATATTTAGAACACCCTCCCAAAACACCTGGTGCCCCACTGCCAAATCTTCTCACCCAATCTCCAGCCCCAGATAATCACTAATCCATTTTATGTCTCTACAGATTTGCCTATTCTAGATATTTCATATAAATGGAATCATATATGCTCTTTGTGACTGGATTCTTCCACTTAGCATAACGTTTTCAAGATTCATCTTTGTTGCACTGGTATTCTTAAATGTATGTATCAGTACATTCTTAAGCAAGTATCAGTATCCTTTTTTATTGCTGGATCATATTTCATTGTAAGGATAGACCATATTTTGTTTATCTATCTATCCATCAGTTGGATGTTTAGATTATTTCTACTTTTCAGCTATTATGAATAATGCTGCTATGAACATTCATATACAGATTTTTGTGTGTAAGTGTATTTTCACTTCTCTTGGGCATATACTTAGGAATGAAATAGCTGGATCATATGATAAATTCTATGTGTAACTTTTTGAGGCACAGCCGAACAGACTGCACCATTTTATTCTATCCAGCGAATAATATGAGGGTTCCAATTTCTTCATATCATAGCCAACACCTATTATTGTCTGTCTTTTCTATTTTAGCTATCCTAGTGGGTGTGAAGTGGTATCTGACTGTGGTTTTGATTTGCATTTCCCTGATGATTAGTGATCATAAGCATCTTTTGATAAGTGTATTGGCCATTTGGGAAAATGTATTCAAATCCTTTGCCCATTTTTAAACGGAGTTATTTATCTTCTTATTGAGTTGTAAGAGTTTTTTTTATATATTTTGAATCCAAGTCCCTTGTCAGATAAGAATTGATAGACATTTTCTCCCAGTCTATGGCATGTCTTTTTACTTCTTTTGATGCACACAAGTTTTGATGAAATATAATTTATCTATTTTTCTTTTATCACTAGTGCTTTTGGTGCCACATTTAAAAAAACATTGCCTAATCCATGGTAAGAGATTGACTATTATGTATTCATCTAGGGGTTTCTACTTTTAACTCTTACATTTAAGTCTATGACTCATAAGGATCTGTGGTTATGGCTAATAGACCATGCAGTTCTAGGAGTGAGACAGATAGGAAGCCAATGAGGGTAGAGCTTCACTTACATACCAAATTATATTAAACTTGGGTGAGCAGAGGCTTATGCCAGTCATCCCAATGGAAAATTACAACCCCAACCCAGTTTCTAGACCTGAGCCAGATCTCACACTGCAGCCCATCAATTGAAGGGAAGTCTGGGTCCTGAGGAAGGTGTATTCCTTCCTTAGGTATATTCAGTATCAATTTCTCCAATCTGACCCTAAAAGGTATCAGAGTGACTGAGCCCAGGGAAAAGGGGAACACCTACATCTTTTGAGTGCTATTAGATACAACAAGATCTGAGTTGGCAGTGATACGAAGAAAGAGCAAACACATTTATGGCAAACACATTCATGGCTCCCATGATACAGGAGAGGTGTACAGAGGCCAGCTGATAAATGAAGTCCTGGCCCAACTTTGTTTCACATTGGTTGCCATGGGTCCGCAAACTCATCTTGTGGTCATTTTGCTGGCCCATGTGTGTGCAGTCATGGAGACAAATATTCTTAGACACTGACAGAAATTCCACATTAGTTTCCAGATCTATGAACTAAGAGCCATTATGGTAGGAGAGGCCAAATGGAAATCCCTAAAACCGCCTTAAGCCAGCCAAGATAATGAATTAGAAGTAGTCTCACTTCTTGGGCAGAATGGCAGGGATGAGTACCATCTCAAAGAATGAGGAGTAGTTGTCTCCATTACATCCCTATTTAATTCATCAGTTTGGTTCCTGCAAAAGATAGATGAATCCTTTCAGATGATAGTGGTCTAGCCACTTAAGCCTAAATTAACTCAGCTGCCACATTGAATGTGGAATCTTTACTAGAATAGCTCAACACAGCCTTTGGCCCTTATTATTCAGCTGTTAATTGGCAAATGTATTTTTTTAATCATCTGGAAGGAGCGAAGCATTCTTGCAGTGCAGGCAGCAATTTACATTCAAGTCTTACTTTTGGGCCACATTAATCCTGGCATACTGTAGTCTGAAAAGTCCTTAATCATCTCATCATTGAGCAGAACATGATGTTGGGCAACTATATTGGTAATATCATGTTCCTCAGACCTGGGAAGGAGGAAGTGGCACATATTCTGGATACCCTAGAGGTGTCCAGAATACAGTACTGTGGCACAAAAATTATTTTGAGGGGAAAGTATTTGAGGTCCTGAAATCTCTTATCCGCCTAAAAGCAGAGCCTCCCAAAAGAGGTCAAAAGAACTCAATTGTCTAATGTCCCCCCTGCCCCCTTGGAACATCCAGGGAAATCTTACTCTTATAATGAGGTGAGATGTCTCCACACTACACCCAAACGGGCAATGTCACAAAAACTAGCATGCTGCCATGGGTGGGATGGGGTCATTGGGAGACTTTAAATACCAATAGCTGGCATATATGAGCCACTGCATTGTAGTAAATACTTTGCTTTCCCGTATTTTTCATTCGTCAGTATTGTGTACTTTCTAGGAAAAGATTACTAAAGAAACAGCAGGGACGAGATAAAGTCCCTTTTTTCTTGGATTTATATTGTAGAGGCAGACAACAAATACACAAATATAAATAAGCATGTCAAATTCTCAAAATCACCTTTTTATATTTTAGGTTTTCACTGACCTTTTTTTCTGCCTGTATGAATTATAGAAACTAATTGTATACGATTCATTTAATATGGAAGTCTAAGGAAGTAAAAATCTCATCACTGTGAAGACCATAAACGTTGTTAACCATCCTTCCATCTATATATCTGTATAAGTAAATAGGATAATTTTATACTTCCTGTTTTTAATTATAATCATGAAGGGGTTTTGTCATCAGGCTTAAAACTTTAAATACTGTAGTAACATGCCTACAATCACAGTAAGAAATTGACAATGTAGAGATGCTAATGTAGTGTTGTTTAAAGAGGTTGTTTGTTTGTTTGTTTGTTTAAGCCAAGGGCGTGGACAGGAAAGAAATTAGGCTTTTAAAATAGTTCGATCTAAAAATAATTAGGGCTGGAACGGCCTTCAGCAGCGAGGACCGACTTGATCGGCTATTGAGTGGCAGGTAATTTTACAGCGACCCAGAGATGCAATTTCTAACCAAGTTTTTCCCCTAAAACTGATAGAGATCAGATACACTTAAGATTGCCACTAGTAACTATTTTTCAAGCTGTTAAAAAAAAAAGAGCATTTAATCTATCTAAATTTTTTTTTTGTTGCATTTGTCCAGGTCTGCCTAGACTTACAGTAAATGGCAGAGCAGTAACAGCAATCTCGGTATTAATTATCACGTTATTAAATTTTCCAGCAGCAAGTCCCTGGGGGGCTGTCCTGCGAGTGGGCAGTGTGGGAGCCAGAAAGGGCCGTTCTAAGCTCATAAAAGTTCCACGAGCGAGACAATGGAGCAGCAGAATTTCCACACACTGAACCAGCCATCACCACTATTCTGCAGGTTCGCAGTTAGGCACCGCCCGCGCGGTGGCGGGGTGGTGGGGAGGGTCTGTATTTTAAAACAGCTCGAGATCACGTGGCCGCCCGCCCGCGCTGCTACTGGCCCTCCGACTCTCACACTTGGCTTTGGCGCCGAACCTTTCCCCCTTTGTGGGCGCAACCATTGGCTCCGCGCTCGGAGGGAATACAGGCCAACTTCACGATCAAGACTTTTCTGAATGAAGCTTCCAGCTAAGTCTCAGGAAATATTCGGCTAAGAATTGAAGGATCAACTGAAATCCATCTAAGGACGCCGTGGAAGGCTCCTTTTGCCAATATCGACGAGCAGACCTACTCTGACTCCCCCTACGCTTTGTGCGGGGGGGGAAAGCGAGAGTGGTTCCGTCCGACGCGCGGACTCCGCCTCCACGGGCGCCGCCATTTTGTTTGGCTGGAGGGGAGCGAGCGGCGCTTGGGGGAGGGGTCTTGTAGGCGCCTCACCTGGCCCCGAGGCCGCGCTGTTTCTTCTTGAGGTGGGGAGCCCATCTCCCCGGCTAGGTTTGCGGAACCATGTACATAAAGCAGGTAAGGCCAGCGCGTACCTTCTACCCCTCACAGGCCCGTGAGGACCGTTTCTGGAGGCGGGGGTGTCGCCTTGCGACCCGCGGCCTCTCTCGCCTCTCACTTCTCCCCTCCCAGCTGAGTGGACCCGAGCTGGACTGGGACGGTGGGGAAGGGGAGAGGGCCCGCCTCGGGAGCGCAGGGGCCGCCGAGAATTGGGGCGACCCTCTGCAGCCCGGGCCTTTGTGCAAGGCGCTGGTCTGAGGGAGGCAGGACCTCCGAGGAGTGTGGACGGGCTGGCGGGGTGGGCCTCGTAGAGGGACTGGGCCTTTCCGGGTGGGCCAGGGGCGAGAGAGCCGGCCGTGTGGGCCGAGGGCCCCGGGCCCGAGCTGGCTGGGGGCCGCGCCGGGGCCGCGCGGAGGGGAAGCTGCGTTGTCCTGCGGGGAGAGAGCCCCGCGTGGGCCATCTGGGTGAGCTGTGTGGAGAAATGTCTCTTCGGCCCGGGGGTGCCCCGGAGGCACAGGCTGAGGTGTCAGCTTAACCCGGGGCCTTTCTCCTCCCCTACTCACCGGAGAAGTGAAAAGGACTCTGCTTGCAGAATGTGTAGCGCCTCATTCAGTTGTTTACTTCTGTCAAAATGGTCTTCCCGCGCTAGAGTCCACCACAAAGATGAGCCCATTCACACTCTTGGAAAAGTTTCTCTTTTGGATATGTTGGACTCTTAGCGCTCCTTTCTTGGAACGTCTGCTCTTTTTTGGCTGGCCCGTGTGTCTCTTGGAGTCGGGAAAGCTGGAGTCAGTCTGCCTGCTTGATACTTTAACACTGTGAAGTTCCCTGTTCCGGCGAACCTTGCACGGTGTACTTGATTTTGACACTCCCTTAGGCGGTTATTAATTAAAACTCCTAATAAAACAACAAGGGCAATGGTTATTGATAAAGGACTGTTCTTAGAAGATTTTTAGTCACCACATTCCAAAATGAATTTTTCTTACGTGAAATTGAAAGTTTTCTATGTTGCGTTAAATGAGAAACCAGAAAGGGAAGACGTGCAAAAGAAAAATGTTAGTTTAGAAGGTATTTCTTTGTGTGTTCTGAAAAATCTCTCTTATTTATTCATTAGGTTATTATCCAAGGTTTTCGAAGTTATAGAGATCAAACAATTGTAGATCCCTTCAGTTCAAAACATAATGTTATCGGTAAGTGTTCATGGTTTATTAGATCAGATTTGTATCTATACAGCCATACAATAAATTCTGCCTATATCTAGGCTTAAGGAGACAATAATTGTCTTTGAATATTACATAAATTTTTCTTTTTTCCATATGAAATAATTTCTTTGTCTTTTATCTGCATTGATAAATTGCATATTTTATGCATTTAAAATACTTGGATAAGTCATAAGTTTCTCATTTTTATATGGATAGTCTCTTGTGTATTCAATGTGTTTTAATAGCTTTAAGTTTATAGTAAATGACTAAATTTAGTGTTTGAGGTCTTCTGTTACTTATATGTCATTTCCTAGGTAAAATGCTCACTATTGCCTTATTTCAAAGGTGATTACATTGTTCTCAGATTACATTGTTCTCAGATTTTTTTTCCCCCCTGTCATAATGTGTAAGGGCAGACCTTGCAGTTTGGCGGGAAGGGTGTAAACTTTGGAGCATAATAACAGTATGGGATTCAAATCGCAGTTCTGGCATGTATTTTTCAAACTTTACTCCTTGTGGGGCTTCAGTTTTCTCATTTGTAAGGTGGAGATGATGATACTCATCTCATAGAGCTACTGGGAAGAGTAAATGAGAAAGCAAATGTGAGGTTAAAGGACTAACAGTGATTGCCCTACAATACAATACTTAGTCTATAGGTCCTTCAGATGATAAAGTTCCATTTTACTGATACAGCCAGCAAGAGTGATTTCTGATGTTCTGCTGAATTTTTAAAGGTTAGATGAATCGAGTGTTTCTGGACACCAGAAAAGTATAGAATGTGCTATTGATTTTTGCTACATCGTGTCTTCATTATGGGGTATATTGATATATTAGTCTGCTATGTCTACCGTAACAAAATATCATAGATTGGGAAACAGGTATTTATTTTCTCACTGTTCTTAAGGCTAAAGTCCATCATTAGGGTGCTAGTGTAGTCAGATTCTGGAGGCTTCCATCACCACCATGCTCACATAACCTTTATTTGAGCCTCTCCTTCCCTCTCCTCCCTCCCCCGCCCCTTTTTCCTCTTCTTCCTCTTTTTCACTTTGGAGCACTAATCCCGTCATGAAGATCCCACCCTCATGGTCTCATCTAATTCTGATTTCTTCCCAAAGGCCCCCATGTCCAAAAAGCATCATATTGGGGATTAGGACTTCAATATATGAATTTGGGAGGGGGGCATAATTCAGTAGCATAGAATTAAGTGGGATTCATATAGAAATAGATAAAGAGTGAATACTAAATGCTGATGTTCCCAGAGAACCTTAGAGAATCATACTTTCTGTATTTCGAAATAATAAATTTTAAAAATTGAGAGCAAGAAAAAAACCTGCCTTCAGTACATCAATTACAACCTGTAATTGGGAATTTAAAAAAAGAAAACATACTTTTTTTTCCCCTGCTTTACCTACTGAAGAATTGTTAATTGAATTTGTGTGCTATAATGGTAGCTTAATCATCCTGGAGTTTTATTTACATTTCAATTATAAATAAGTGCCTTTTGATTTTCATCTGAAAATCTTTGGAGAACAATGAATACTTACTAGATATATATGTTTAACTTACAAGTTATAAGAATATTTTAATATATCCATCGTGTAATTTTATAAACGAGCTTTAAAATGAAGACCATCATTACCTAGGATGATTAAGTTATGGCTAGAGGGCCTTTCAAGTATTTTTGATTTAGCTATTATGAGACAGCTGTTTTAGTACCATACTTTGTGACATTAGGATTGTTAATAGTTATGATTACAAAGGAAATTAAGTGTTCTTTTTGTTTGTTTTAACTGAAAAAGACAACATGATTTTATTAGTTTACATGTTTTAAAAACAGGTACCCGTTAAGACTAAACATAGTGTAGACCGGGATTGACTCTAAAAATATCTTATGAAAGCATACCATTTTAGTGATTTTGATCTTTAAAAAAAAAGATTTGAAGGCAAATATCTCTGCTTATGTTTGAATGAGGGTTGAATGTACCAAATATATCTTTTTAAGGTTACCTTTTTTCTAGCATTTTAACAAAAGAAATTTTTGTTAATTATAGAATATTATGGAAGAGCATAAAAACTAAAAAGAAAAACATTAAAGTAAACTGTAATCTTTCTACCTAGAGATAGCCACTCTTATTTTAACAATCTATACTTGTATTTTCCTTGGTTTCCTAGAAAACAGCCCAGGTCCTGCTTAGCTTAGTAGGCTTTAATGGGAAGGTGCAGTCTTAAGGCAAGAGAGAAAGAAAAAGCTGGTCATAGCTTTGTAAAAAAGTTACAGCTGGTTTGTGGTTACATTGGATAATTTCCAGACAGACTTTGTGAATCTACAATGCCATGGAAAGGTCAGATGGGAAAGGAATGGAGAGGGTTTTGTCTGGTGGCTCCTGTTTCTCAGTGGTCAGGGTTTTCCACACAGGGCATTAATTCCCCCATGCTTTTAGATTATATTACTCTGGGGACTAACCCCTCCTGAAGTAGTCGGGGAACTGTGGCCTCTTTTGGATTTTCACACATTTGACCTGCTCTTCCAGGGTGGGCTGAAACAACCGGAGATGTTGGGAGACTGAGCCTCTCTATTGACAGGCAGGCAAGGCCTGGGTTGGAGAAAGTAAATCTGGGACACACATAAATTGGGCCTGCCTCAGTACCTCTTCAGTCTTTGCCTTGTAATCTGTTGGTAATTTGCTGTTTTTCAGAACAAACTTGAATAATCATTAGATATTCAACATCTTTAAAATTGCTACATAGTATTTCACTATGGGTAGGAATAATTCTTAAAAGGAATATAAAAATTTTTTTCAGTTATTTATGAATGGATTGTGGTTCGAACTATTTATGTAATTCTTTTTATAAGTTGCCTTTTTAAACTTCGATTTAGAGATAAATTACAAATTTACAGAAAAGTTGCACGTATAAGAGCAGTACAGAGAATACTCATATACCCTTTACCCAAATCTGCGGATTAACATTTTCTCTACTTTATCATTTGCACTCTTCTCATTTTTTTTCTCGAAGTAAGTTATGAATATATCATGGTCCTTTACTTCAGACTTCAATGAATACTTTGTAAGAATAGGGATATTCTCTTGCATTATCACAGTATAGTTACAATCTTCAGTAAATTTAACATCCATGCCACAACCGGCTCTTCATTTTCCAGTAATGTTGATTGACCCAGAAATGTTCTTTATTGCATTCTTTTCGTGTGTGTGTGTGTTTATAGCATTTTTTTTCTTACAGTACAGAATCTAATCTAGAATTAGGTATTGCATTTAGTTGTCATTTCTCTTTAGGCTCCTTTAATATGGATCTTTCCACAGCCTTTCTTTGTCTTTTGTAACATTGTTTTTGAAAAGTATTATAAATGACGTGTCCTTCTCTGGGTATTACATCTGGAGGTACATGATATCCATCTACCTCTTATTGCTGTTACTTTTGATCACAAGGTGGTGTTTAATTTTTCCACTGTACAGTGTGTTTTTTCCCTTGCAACTAATAAATAATACGGAGATGGTGATATACTTTTGGACCATGCAAATATCATGCTCCTTATCAAAATTTCCCTCTAAATTTAGCATCTATTGATACTTCTTGCCTTTATCCTGATGGTTACAAAATGATGATTTTCCATTTCCAGCACTCTTTTCATATTAACCACTTGGTATTCTACCGCAAGCAAGAGCCCTTCATCCTTAGCTGTTTTGTTTTGTTTTGTTTTGTTTTAATTAGTAAGGACTCATGGATTATTTTCCCCACACTAATTTATATTTCATCTAATTATTTTGGTGCTCATATTGTCTTAGATATAGTCAATGGAAGTCCCCCTTTCAAGCTAGTTTATTTACGTCTGTTATATGCCTCTTTTTAAAGGCACTTCATTACTTTCTGGCATAACATAAATTATCTCTTTAGGATTTACTTTGGGACCAAATTATTGAGCGTATTTTGGTCCAGATTAAGAGAGAATGACATAAATTTTAATGACTCTTAATGAAAATTTTGCTAAACAGAAAACTCAGGTGAATTAAAATCTGAAACATTTGATATCCTTTTGTGTAGAATTGCTTAATTTCTGAATTCAGGTAGTAAAAATAATGCCTTATAGTTGTCTATATTTTTGTGAGTCTGTGAAACTATGCATGATATATAGGGCTGATCATAAATAGTTTAATATGCAAATAGTTTGAGAATTTAAAATGGTTAAGTGTATTTAAATGTTAGTAATATGTAAACCTTTAAATTGTCTAAAAAATGCTTTATATAATTAAAATAGAATTACATGTCTATTGTAATGATTATAAATTATAAAAGCCAAGTAGTATATTTAGTTATTTTTATTAACTTTAAACTATTGGGAAAGAGCAAAAGAATCAACAATGAAGTGAATTTCTTTAAAGAAAAAAACTTTCTGAAGTCTATACAAAAACAGTGCTCTTTTGGTTATTAAAACTTTTGTTCATTGATTTTTTTTTTATACCATTCTATTGTATTTAATTTCAAATATTAAGATTTTATGTTAGGAATTTGGACTTAAATAAATTTTATAATACTTTCAATAAAGTTTTAATTTCATTGACTTATGCAAAATAACGTGTTTTTTTTGAAATTTTATAGTGGGCAGAAATGG